TCTGTAAGTATATTGCCCATATGGCTGTGCGTTTCTGGTAAAGAGTTTACTTCAGTATACTTGTTCACGACTCTAATTTGTCATCCGCCTATCTTATTTTACTTCAAGCTAGATTCACAATTTCATCCCAAATTATTATAAGAATTTGCAAGGAATATTTATTCATGACATACAAAATATATAATTATACGAAACTATATATTTAAAAAAATCATTTAGTTTAGATAAAGAGAAGCACGATTGTGGTTAAATATCTACAGGTGGTAGAGTTTTAAGAAATATTAACCTGGGCTTGGCTAGGATTCTGACATCTCCGTGATAAGTGTGCTGTTTTGGATCTTTCAAGCATCTAATTCCCATGTGTCCACTCTTTCACTTGCACCTTCTGTATGTCGGTTATTAACTAGACCTAAGCTTTGTCATCAAAGATTCGAGTGTACAATCTTGATGGTGGTACAACTGTAGTTGTACAAACATACAGTTTTCACTCAAACAATAGAGTATCACTGATACTCTATTGTTTGTTTCACGGATAATTAACAATTTAGTAGGCTTGTGTACTTTTAAATTTTTAAATTTATTTTATTGAAAAATCTGTGATTTGGTTGATAAATTCATTAAGAAACAATAATGTGAACAAGTAACTCACAGAGTAGAACATTCTTCAAGTTTCAAAGTAGGTTGCATCAACGTTCGAATGTGCTTGAGCGGAACATGATGAAAGTGGATTTCTAACTTGAGCAAATGATTGAAAGGAAATTTGAATAATTTAGCCCACAATTTGCCATCATTTTCGATGATGCCAAAAGCCAATTGGGAAACAGATAAATTTCAAAAATTTAAAAATTTTGGTAGAACATTTTCAGCATAAAAGTAAGAATTCATTTCCTCATAATGTGTGGAGAACTTTGAGCTAAGATTGTGTCAAGTCCAATCGAACTGAGAGGAATATGGCTATTCCGAATGACATTTTTGGGTACAGGCATTCAGCATGTATGATTTAGAACCAAAGATTAGTAAACTCAATCTTAAATCATTATTTCCGTTTTTACTCTTTTCTCTGTACAAAACCTTCATGGGGACCAAACTGCCCCTCAGAGGCCTAACAGGTTGAAAATTAGCCGGAAAAGTGTGTGATCCAAAAATTGTGTAACTAGAATCAAACCATTAAGTGTTGTCAAATTAAAAACATGTATGTTACTTAATTTTGTTATGATTCTCATCATTGTTTTGTGTATAATTTCTCCTTAATCAGTTTTGCGTAAGTTGAAATTGTGCAAGGAAAATATTGCAATCAGAAGTATAGATGGGCAAGAAATGTGTAAATGATGCATGAGAAGTTGATGGCAAGAGTCAAACGTGTAGGTAAGTATCTCCTTTCTATTGTTCTCATACTACTGTTGATTGATCTCAGAGTTGTACATGGAGTACTAACTGAAATTGAAGCAAATGCTAGAAGAGCTGAATGTTTATAGCATGTTGTGAAATGACAAGAAATTTGGGTATTCATGCACATAACAATCTTTAGTTCAACTTCAGTTTAGTAAAACGGGACAGTATGCCTTTGGACAAAGCAAAAGTTGGAATAAATTCTATCTGAAAGACAAGTTTGAATGGAAGATTCAAGTAAGTATTACTGGATCGAAGGGTGGAGATTTTGAAAGTCATGAAACTAAATTGTCATTTTGGACTAAGACCTGTCTTATTCATCTCGCTTTATAAGTATTATTTCAATACCATAATACATAATAACTCATTATTTATATCTCTTCTGCTCTGAGCTGGACGACTCTTCTATTGCAATGTGCCTAACTCTACATATTTTATGCATGGTAGAGTTAAATACCCCTGATGTCTTTGAGCTTTTGTTTCGATTTTTTTTGCACTAGAATCAGAATGCGGGTTTATAATCTTAAGTAAGGTCACACTTGTAACGTCCCACCTCTCTAATTCTTGAATGATGGCACTTGAGTTATTTATATAGAGAGAGACCGAGAAGACGCTTCAATCTTCTGAGGCTGTTGTTATCAGCAGGAAGGCAAACTGCTACGTCACGTTCAAGAGCACAAACTATACTACTTGTATACTTTTTATTAGGGATACAGTAATTCGTCTTTGTGTAAACTTAATGACAATTCTTCAGAAAATTTTTACAGACAGTTTTCATACACGAGGGACTCCAATTTATCTACATCAGATTCTATGAGTACATTTAAAGTAATCTATAGGTTTTTATTTAATCACCAATTTTGAGATTATTATTTGTATGTTTTTTCTCTTTCTTTCTGTATATTGTGGGGGTCGTTATTGAAGGGATTTCTATTGCACTCTTTCCAATTCTTTATGTGCATTAATCTCCCGGGATGGGGAGCCGCTATATGGGGTCCAATAAATATAGGTCACATATCCTAACAGAGTATCAATACAATCTGACTTTATATTCCTCTTTGATTTGTTTCTCAAGGATTTCAATGACTTATCTCTTGCCATATTCTAGTGTGCAGTATAAAAGATTCAAAATATTGATCTATTTTTGGATTTTCTTTAATATTGGTTTGTTGAAAGTAAGAGATCTCAACTTGTGTCAGTGAAATCCAGAAGTATTTAGAAATTATCTGAACCCCGATTATTGGGAGGAGTCCAATGAAGCTCACAAGAAATTTTTGAGAATCCTTGATACATTATGTGAAAGGTACCAGGAGTGAAGTTCATCTTGGTTGGATCTATATTTCCAAATCGGTACATCACCTAGAGCTGTTCCCATTTCCTATGGTAAGGCCGTAAAAATACCAAACGCACCATTTTGCTGAGGCCAATAATACTGCGATCTACTTGAACCCAACGTCGAAAATAGGACAAAGAAAATATCCCTAGATTGCTACATACGTGACTGTGGATTCCTCACACATAGGCCTGGACATTTAACTGATTGTCGTTGGATTTATTTAGAAGCTGCAGCAATCTTCTCAAATTTACTCCGGTGCATTTTGTCACTCAGAAACTGCACTTTCATAGTTAAACCACAATCTGTTGACTTCTTCTCTGTGTGTTTCAGCTTTCTGGCCTTCCTACAAATCTTAGAGTTCAGCAATTTCGAATTTGCGCATTCGTGTACCTCCATGTTTTTTTCTGTCTCATTTTACATGTTACCACGGATTAAGTGTTAGTTTTTATTTTTCGGTCCACTGGGTCATTCGTGAGGTCGTCTTTTTCTTCGAAGTGGCTATGTTGCCCTGTTGCAACCGAATTCCCTGTTCCATCGAGCTTGAGCGGACCCAAAGATCGCCCTTCCTGATGGCGATATGCGACGCAGTGTGGCCAGCCTGCCTGCCATCTCTCGAGACAGAAGGCAAGCTGTGCAGATCGATCATCTCTGGCTCCCATTTGTCGATGTCCTGGCTGTCTATCGTGCACGTGATCAACGTTGACGGTCCGAGGGATACGGTCTTGTGTGTAAGCGTAGGATTCGCCGAGAACCGGTCCTGAAATAGGGAGAGCCCATATGGCTCGGGAGCCAACCGGACCGGACCAGACCGCGGGGTATTCAGGCGTTCCGGTCCGGTCCCAGAACTGCGAGGTCAGGGAGTAGACGTGGTTTGTTTGTTCGTTTGTTTGGCGGCCCTTCTACTAGAGACAGATTTGCTACTTGACGATGGGGTTGCAGATTTGTGGCCTCGCTTTTTTAACACTTCTAGCCAGCCTTGACTCAAAGCTCTCCATTGTACTCCAACAATGTCTTCAGGTTTTTACTGGATCGTGTAGCATTATTATCGCTTATCCGGTATGAAACGGTTATTTCAACTTATTGAGATCCATGTGAATTTTTATAAGTAATATCAGCTAGATTAGCCGTAGTAGGCCCTTCACGTCAAAACCATTAGTTGAATTGGATAGTGAACTATGATAAGCCTACATTATTGATTGACACTCTGTAGTTACTTCATGTAGGTTTATACATCTCATTCATCATAGCAACAAAAGTCAGACTTACTTTTGAACCCATTATTTCCTCCTAATAAAACTAAAACATGTAACTTAAATATCTACAGTGCTTCATTTGATAAGAAGTTATCCGTACGTGACGCTGATATATAGTGACTCATTGAAGAACCTACTTTCTAACGGTAAGGGATAGAGTTCTAATGTCAATTATCGAAAGAGTGCGAGCATTATCTGTTCAGTTGAAAACAATGTATAAGAGTGATCTACTTAAACAGTAAACCTTCTTCTCTCGTGTGCATACTTTTTTATGTTCTTGAATTGTAGTTTTGTCGATTGTGACAATCACAACTTCATGGAGTCATACGTATACCATAAGGGTTTACATCGACTCTACAAACTGAACCATGGAACATAAAATATAGTAGATGACTGAAGTTGATTCCGTATAGCACTGAGTATTTTCAGGTTTACTTATTATAAGAGCCTTCTAAAGTAGATGTGAGCAAAGAACGAAGTCCATCTTTTGTTGATGTGGAAATCAAATTATGGCATACCGTGCCAATACAGTCGGAAAACAATAGAAATTCAGATGTCCAGAATTTGAAAGACCGTGTTGCATATACTTCAAATGCAAACACGAGTACGAGCCCGTCAACAGTAAGAGCGTGGCTGGATCTCGGTTTACAACTTAAAGATTGTTTCAGATGTGATCTATCTATGTCGTCAAGGTACCTAGCTATGTTCTCAAAGTTTTAGGGAGAGCAAGACATCGATTGCGGGAAAAGGACCTTTCCAGATCTGAAGCGGTTCTCGCCCTTTCGGAGATAACTTGAGTATCGTTTGCGGTTAGATTACTCTCTACTGATGCCATGATCTTTATCATGGACTCAACTTCATACACGGGAGAATCTGTGCGGTGCTAGTGATTACTTCTTTTAATGATACCGAGACTTACTCGAGAGCATTGTATATATCCGATAGGAAGTTACGCTTTGACCATGCCTTCTTCTGAATCATTCTGACTGGGAAGAGCGACTACGTAATTCATGCCATGCCACCAAGATCTATAACTAGAGAAGATATAGTAGTCAAATGTGGGCACTCTACCCAGATGTCAGTTCCGTTTTATTGATTTGTCCACTGTTATGGCCGCTAAACTCATAGATTAGTTATTACTTACCTAGTTCATTATGCACATGCTCATCGCTTTTCTTCTTAAAAAACCGAGTGCTGATGTGTACCAGCTAAGGCAATTTCCACAGGGAACTGAAGTGAATAGTGAAAATCATGAACCATCTTGGACAATGAAATTTGGGACTTCTTCCAAATCTAGTTTTGAGTTTTGAACTTTAAGCGCGCATGAGCTAAAATTTAGGCTTGCCGACATCGAGTCCTCGCTCGTTTTAGTAACAAGACGTATTGACAATATATACAGACCTGTACATACAAAAAGTGGACATGGCAAATAGCACCGAAGTTCATCTACATGAACTGTGAGATTATAGAACTAAACGAAGCTGTGTCTTATCAAACACTCCCTCCCATGCTACAAAGTCCAATCTCCTGGGCCTTGAGGAGAACTCGGTTTACGAAATTTCCATGAGTGGCTCTCCCTCAATCCGGACCTACAGAATGGAATCACATTGATACAGGCTGTACACTTTGTCCTAGGATGGACTTTTCTTTCTGCTCATCCTCGAAATCGTGAAAACGTACCTTTTTTGGAGAATTTACATTCGATCTTTTGGTCGGAGATTCTGCCTCGTCCGAACCGCTTATATTGACTTGTTCAATGAATTTGGCGATCACCTTCTTCATCTCTTTCGCGGGGTGTTCTTCCAGGAGCTGAGAAACTGCTCTTCTGTCGGGCATACTTGGAATGGCGCCTTTGGTCCTCACACATATTGAGGCTGCGGCCGCTGCATGATAAGGCGAACAAAGTATTACTAAGAATTAGAAGGTGTATAAATTATGGGCAGTTAGCATCTAAACAAATAAGAAAACAAAACTATGCGCTAAAAGTCTCAGACCACTTCGTGTCTCACCTGCGAATCTAAGCGCTTCAGCAGGTGGTTGCTTCTCTATAAGAGCTACAGTATAAGCGGCAGTGAAAGTATCTCCTGCACCAGTGGTGTCAACAACGTATGGCGCCATGATAGCAGGTTGTACAATTGGGGGCTCGTCCTTGTTGACCAGTATAGAACCTTTTTCCCCGAGCTTCACGAGAACCTGCTGCACACCCTGATGAGACATTACAAAAAACCAAATAGGTGAGATTATATAATATGAAGAAGAAATAAGTTAAAATCAGCGTTTCAGATAGTCATATGTAAAACTCAATGCAGAAATACCGACATCAAAAAGTAATCCTCCAGTGAGGTCAATCACTACAATATAGCTTACAAACCAAAGAATCATTTACTAAAGTACTTACTTACCAACAACTGGACCTTAGCAGCTGCTGCCAGAACCTCCTCGGTAGTGTCTGTAGGCATCCCTGTTAGACGAGCAAGCTCGGTTTCATTGGGGCTGAAAATAGTAACGTTTTTTAACAGTTCGGGTGGCATTGGAGAGTCTATACCACCTGCGTCCAAAACTACTGGTACATTGGAGACTTTGGCTATCTGTAGAGAAATAGATGACACAATCAGAAGAGCTGAATTTGCTTGTCCCACTATTTATTAGAACATGAATGATGTTAAAGATTATTTCATACAAGCTTACTTTTAAATGTTAAATGAAGGGTCTCAGAGCAGACACCACACTACGCACTCGTATATAAGAGCACTAGACCTGAATTTAAAACAGCAGAGCCAGAGGGAAACTTAGATCAGATATAAACAACGCACCTTAGCGACCTCTATGTTCAAAGAATCCGGCACTTCTCTTTGGAGTATTACGGCACCTGCCCTCCTTATTAATTGTTGAGCTTTCTCGTTAAGTCGACTAATTCCACCATCCAGACGAGGCCATGAGACATTAGCCCCTCCAACTATGATGATAGAATTGTTTCCTCCTGGTTGCAACATTACTATTGCATGCCCAGTTGGTCCAGCTACAGTACCCAAGTAGTCAAGTTTGACACCAGAAGACTGCAGAGAATCTCGAATAAGATTTGCAAAGTTATCCTTCCCGACCTGCACAAGCACATGTAATATCATCTCAACAATGATGTCCATGCTCACAGCCTATAAACTAACTATAGGAATACAAGCCATTCTACTTAAACCTAGAACATACTTGAAATTCGAACACTATTGTATCCATGTGCCTACAATTCACCTTCTGTTACATGGGTGACAAGGAAATTGTGAACAGAACAGAGCGATATCAATCTCTTAAGCCAATGCTCAATGAGGTTGAAAGCACTGGTACTTGTTGTCGGATATGACAACAAGTACAACATCGACAAAATCGCTGAAACTTGATCAGCACAGACAGAAGTTTGACAAATCATGTGTGGTGAAGCGTTTAGCACTACAAAGGCAGACCAAATCTGTTACAAAGACATCATTATATATTCTGATGTGGAACGAACTTTGTCCATTTCACATCGGGCTACACTTCAAAAGCATGAAACGTAATATTTTGTTCGCAAATTACAAAATACTCACTCTTCGTTCATTAGTTTTGCACAACTTTCATGAGAAATTTCGCCCCTTCTGTCATTCCACTACACCTTTCAGATACTACTTTGATCATCAATTTAATAACTGCTTCTGATGGTGCAAAAGTGAGGCTGAACTTTCATCATTTGAAAAATGTACTTACATACATTTCACTTCCTTCCCGATTCCTTGGCATACATACATCGCTACTAATTCGGGTTCGAATTTAGCAACCAGTGAATTGAAAGCACAGAAACAACACAAATACGGTGATGAATGCCTACTTGGCGCCTTTTTTTCAAAGAGAGGTCACGAGCCTAACCACCAGACACAACCGCCACTTTCAGGATGGCAGCACAAGACTGATAGGCCTATAGTACACGATGTGCAATACTCGATTGATAAAGCAGATGTTAGAAATGACAGATCATACCTGGCCTATAAAATAGGTTGGATAATTCAAACGGGCAGCACATGCAGCCTGATTTGCACCTTTCCCGCCAGGTAAAGTCTGCCCGTTGTTGGCAGCCAAAGTCTCGCCTTCCTTGGGAAGTCTGTCGATCTCCACATAGATGTCTGCATTGGCCGATCCCACCACAACGAGTGGTGGCTGAATGATTCTGGGAGGACTCGACATATCGACCTCTGGCGGCAGATTAGACGGTGTGAGAGCAGCCCCCAGTGATGGAAAGAATGAAGAGTAAGAGCTTTCTCTGGGATGCCTACCGATGTAAAACTCTATCTAAAATCTCCCAACACATTCACACCTAGAAGCTTGCGAATTCAACCAATGTTGCCAGATTGGAGAAACGTCGTCAGATTGACACTGAGACCTCCTCACCACGAGCCCTTCTTCGTCGGAAAGAAACGAACACTCATGTGCCAGCTGCGAATTCGAATCGCATTCCTACTTGTCCCCCGCCCTCATTCCCCACCTCGGCGATCACCCGATGCAATGCAAATCGCCAGCACTCTCCAGCTCCCCACCCGGCACCGCCTCGGCACAAATAGTTCCTCCCGACCGCAATTGCTTCCGTCCGGGCTCTCGAAGCCAACACAACAAGTCAGAGCAGAGTATTCTGCTGAATCTGGAACAGCCAGAAAAAGATCCGGGCACAGGCGAAGGGATCCCGAGGGAATCATGCACCGGGGACAGAGCATGGGCGACACCGAGACAGGCGAATCGTGTGCCAAATGGGCTCGGCCTTGCGGCTCGCTCGCTTCATTTGCTCCTCCTCCATAGCTCCTGCTGCTGCTTCGCGTAGGGCGGGGCGGGGCGGTGTGGGGCGGTGGGGCCCGCGGTCAATGTCACGGGCGCCGGCACCCGAACCAATCAGCGCGGAGTGGCATCCGTGTGCCGGCGTGCTTCTCCTTATGACACCATAGCCTCAAAGGTGCCAATGCAGAGGAAATCTTATCTGATGATGTTCGATTTCCTGTCCTCGGACTCTTCGCTTCCCTGTAAATGCGTTACATGAAAATACCATGGCCCTGGCAGTTACGGTGAACAGCCTTCCCTCGGTCTACGCGGCAGTCCCCCATCCATGTTGGCGCATCCGCTTCCTCCTTGATCGCTTGATTTACACACTCCGTTGGCTTTGTTTTTATCAGCTCAATTTACATATAACAAGTTTCCATTTACTTCATGACAAAATCGAAGAACATTTGTTTTAGCTGATTGGACTTGAATCTTACACCATTTCAGATTTCTTAAAAACTATACTAGACGATGAGGGTGCATATTGGTTTATATATATATATATATATATATCATTAAAAAGTCTGCACGAAATTTTTTTTAAATGCAGATGAGATATTCAAAACATTCATTGGCGTCGTGTGACAAAGCTATATTAGACACTAAATTGGCATAATATAGTTGATTTGATACTAGCGTGTACTTTGAAACCTAGTCATTGAAATCTTCTTCATAAGATTTCAATGGGAAAAAAACATGAACATTATTAATCTCCAAAAATTTTATACTTTCTCATTCTAACGTCTTATTTTAAATCCAAAATCATACTGTCCAGAAATGTATTTGAACTTATTACAGAAAATATGTTAACCGTAAAACATGTCAATCGTATGCATCTATCAAGAAAATACAAACTTGGTAATTGTATGTGATATACAAGTATTGCATGCAAACTAGATTATACATAATTCTTCAAAATCGAAAAACTAATTATCAGAGAGCATTCCGACATGAATGAAAAAGCCAAATGTTTTTATCACTATACGTAACTTACTTGTTTCAGGCTCAAGTAGTGTTATCAATAAATTTTTATTTACTAAAAATTAAGTTACTAAAGTTCAACCTAAGTTTGTACCTCATATTTATAGTTGTTAAAGTTGGCAGGTTTAGTTTATAGGTGGCATAAATTGTAGTTTTCAATCATGTAAATTTGATTTTTTTTATTCTTTATATATACTACGCTCTTAATGCTAAACTTAATTGAATGATTTGAGAACAAAGATTTAACTATTTTGATTTATTTTCACATGTCAATCAAACATTCATTATGAAATTGTATATATGATCATTATTATCATGAATTCCTTGTGAAAGTTGTATCAGAGTTAGTGGCACAAAATTTATAGGAATTTTGTGCCACTAACTCTGCGTAAATCTGACAAATATGATCAAACATTGTCTACCTCATGTATGTTACATTTTTCAAAAAGAGCTGATCAAGCTCTACATATGTAAGTTTAAAAAAAAGTAAATTTGAACCAATAAAACTACCACAAAGTATAAAAAGACTAGAACTATGCTTTTGTTCACATTTATTGAAAGAATTAATTTGTATGAGTTTGACGTACAAAAATTTTACAACAATATCTATTTTCGTAAAATGACAGGAATTTTAAAAAATCACGAGTCAAAAAATTTTGAAATCAACTAAATGTATTTAAAAATTTTTGGACTATGAATTCGCTGTTTTTCTGCATATTTAGGTATCACCAATTTTTGTTAATAAAGGCTAAAAGTTGATAAAAAAAAATTTGTAGAATATTTTATTGAAAACTCAAACAAACTAATAATTTCATGAACAAGAAATATGAAAGCAGATAAAAAAATTTAAAAAGTCTAAAAGAGAAAATAGTTCAAAAGATTAAAATAATATTTTCATATTGACCTCTTTATTTTAAAAATGATACATTTAAATTATCTCGAATAGTTATGATCAAGGTAGAATTATTGAATAAAATTCATGAACTTCACATGTAATAGTTAGTCAAATATAGCGGAGAAATACAATTCGAAATTTAGGAAAAAAATTTAATAATTTTTCATAATTTTAATTTATAAAAATTTATTACTTCATAAATGTTCATATTTAGTTTAAAACGGAAAAAGTTATTTTGAAGAATTTATTTTGATTAATTATATTTAAGAAAAATCTATTTGGAAAATGAATACCATGTATCAGCTAAATATTGACATGTTTGAAATTTATATATATTTAGATGAGCTCAAATCAGATATTTTTTAGAAATGAAAAATATTCTCAACTGCAAAAATAACAACAAATTATCGAAATGTTTATGTTTAAAAATCATCATTCTATAATGAATACTATGTGAAACTTTTAGTAGATGAAACAGAACAGAAATTTGAAGAGATTAAATGAAGCTTATGTTTGATGTTCTAACTAAAGAAAATGACAATCAGAACAACCACCAAACTGACACGCTACATCTCCTACCTAGATTTCACGGTGAAACATATATGAGATACAACAATAATTTTCTTGATATCCTATTCAAGAAGTTTTTTCTCAAGATTATTATATACCTCTTTTAAAACATGATTCAGTCATATAAACATAAAAAATGCTAATTAAATGATTAAAATTAGCATGAGAAAATAATGAAAAATAATTTGGATATTTGGATTATTTTAATTATTATCAAGCACTATACTTGTTTATTGCATGTGTGTGCATAGACAAAAAAATCCATGAGAAATATTTTGCAAATCATTGCACGTTAATTTCATTCCGTGGAAATTGATAAAATTCAGCATTTTTTGTACACTTGATTAATACCACCATAAAATACAGCTATAAAGTTGTAAATAGATGGATAACTACTGGAACTTGAATATGATCCAATTCACAAGTATTTTCAAAGGTTTTGAAATCCTTGCTATAACTCTTCGCCCTTTCTCTTTGGTTTTATTTCATTTTCATTTATGATGTTACTATATTTGTATTTTGGAATTTAAAATATCATTTATGGGGAACTAGAGAAGAATTGTCCACAAATCTCATTGTCTAGTTTCTAGACAATGAAAAGTCTCTTTTCAGTTCAAGCCGATGTTAATTTTTAGTGTTATCTGTTATATGATACACAGTCTAAGATTACTTCGGATTAAGTGTAAGGGTACTTCGATGATATCAAATAGTTTTTCCCCGAGGGGAAAAGACCAAGGTAAACGTCACTGGGTACTGTATCTCATGGACATTTTGGAGATCGGGGATTTTTAGCACGTGACCGCAGCCATCTATCCATCGTGGATTCACATCGCAAAAGGAATAACATGCAAAGAAATTGAGTGGCGGACACAATTATGTCATACTGAGGAATAATAACTACTGCACCAGATCTGGACTATGGTATCAAGTAATATACCAGAAGAATCTTCCCCTACAGCGTCGTTCCCGAGGCCCGAGTTTACGAGAGATGTAGGATGTTGACGAAATTGCAATATTTAACGAAACGCTCTTCAAGACATGGTACACATAGAGTACTGAGATCGAGTAAATGCACAAGGACCTCAAAGAAAGTCCGAACTCGGTCCTACAGCATGGGGGCTTACGTTTTTAAGGTTCCGAGGCTGCCCCAACGTGGCACGCGTGGGAACTATGAGATGGAGTACACGTCATACCGGGTATTCACAACGAGGTCCCAACCGTGAGATGCAATTTTCTTCCAAAGCCCACGTCTGCACCGTATGATGACAGGGCTCGAAAGTAATGGCTGATCTCGGTCAGTTGTTGGAAAGAGCTTTCGGCCAATTTCTGCGTGCCTGACTTGGAATCTACCCAGGGGATATCGAGGCATATTACAGGCGGCTGGTGGGTGGGCGTATGGTGAGGTTACGGAAAAGTACAGTGCCGCCCTTCATTGTTCGGGTTATCCTCTCTTTGCGGAGGCCGTACATCTGCAGGTCAGGTGCGTGGGAGCCTGGGCTTCTGTGACCTCATGCCGTCGACTGTGTGACGGGCATTTGCTGCACTCCCAAGTTTCGTGGCAGGATGCTGCAGCTGCAACCCAGTATATGCTCTTTGACCGACGTCAGCATCGCAGTCTACCACTTCCCGGTAAAGCCTACTGCGGTGAGACAGTGCAGTGCTTACGCCTGTGGAGTCCGGACTGTGTTCGACCTTGCGTACCACGGGCGGGGTCCGTGTGGCCTACGTACAACGCCTTGATCCCCAACAACTCGTACAACCTCTGGCCTTTAGGCCTGAACAAAATCGATATGGAAATCCTATGGACTGGGGGAAAGAGCTAGGCTTTTTGATACTCGCCTCTTTTTCCTGAAGCGGGGTTGACAAATACCGTTTCTATGTTCGACACCTTATCCTACATGTAATAAATATCTGGGAAACAGGGATTTATAATGGTGTACGACCTACAAGTTTTTTGAGAAATCAAAACTTCGAGGACCTTCATGTTTCACAAGAAGTTGATATTGATGATCCCTGTATTCAGAATCCAAGATTAATCTTTATTCGCCTCTGACTCTCTATAATATGTTAAAACTTCAAAAGTTTTTTTGCCAATTTTTTCAAAAAAGTACACCCTGTGTAGATTGAGTTACTGTCTGATGCAAAAAAAGAGAGCTGTCTCACCAAATTTGGTACACTGGTAGATACAAGGACTACACATAGAACAAACAGTTAATGAAGATGAACTGAAAACTCATTAGCATTCGCATCAATATCCATTGAAAACTTCCTTCATGAAGATTAAAGCAATATGATCCATCTTATTGACTTGTAAATTGAGATTATTGATGATACATATTTTATTGAGAAGGCCTTGGAACGAGAAGATTACGAATTTTATTTCTTTTGGTGGCCCTTCAAGCGAAGGGACTTGAAACCTGACTGTAAAACAAAATTACTTGGAAGGACCTACAGGATTTACATTACTTAAACCAGGGGTTGGGAAGTAAGTCGACGCTATAATTTTGAATTTGAATTTTGTCATATACATGCTCACAATGCACTGATTTCAAAGTCTTGAAACTCTCTGTTCGACATAATATTCTGCGTTCCAAGAAACGTTTGTCATTTATAAGTTGAAGGAATGCGAGAGGAGGAAGAAAGTAAATCTAAAACGAGTAGCGGTCAATGTACAGTTTGTAGAAAACGAGTGAGATCATGTGCTCTTCCTTATGAAATTCCATGAA